ACCTGTTCTTGTAAATAAAATTATATCAGACCACAGCCACAGTCATTCATTTATGTTTTGTCTTTGGCTGCTTTCATGCTACACAGCAGAGTTGTGTTGTTCTAACAGATAAGGCCCGCAAAGCCTAAATTATTTACTCTCTGGTCCTTTGTAGGAAAAATTTACTAATCTGCATTCTATAACTTCACTGTCCCCTGGTTTTCTCCCCCGCTATTTGGCTCTGCTGAACCCTGTTGCTGAGGGAACATGTAAGAGCCAGTTCTAAGGTAAGGTTGTAAAAGCTCTGGTCAAAAAAATACTTGGAAGTATTGGAGAAACTATACCCCTTTCTCTGCTACCTGATTGAAGAAATAGTGCCTGAGATTTCTTTAAAAAGAAAAAAATTGAAAGTTACCCTAATAAATAGAATCGTTGTGAACAGATGCATTGCATTATCTAATACAGTTTTCCCGACCAGCTCCATTTCACAGATGAGAAAACAAATGGAAGCACAGAGATTGCAGTTGTTTGCCCATGATCACACAATGAAGAAATCGCCTAATCACCACCCCAGACTGCCTCCAGGGGGCACTGCTGTTTCAGAGCCAACACCAAATGAAAAGACAGAAGATGTTTTTGAGCATATAAATGCAGTGTGTGGGGCTGGGTGAGTTTTTCAAAGGTTAGCTTTGCAGTTTTGGAATACAAGAGCACATTAGAAAGCTAGCGAAGCCTGGAGAAAAACACTCAACAAACCATGACTCTGCAGAACAACCTCAGGACATCCAGAGAGCTCTTTCTGAACACCATGTTGCAATCCTGATGCAGCCAGGGCTCTTTGGCTCTGCTGGTCACATTCTGGGCTAGTGGGCGCCTGTGAAACAGGTGCATACAGAATTAAACAGAATCAGAGCAGGCTGGCTCTAGCACGTTGCGCTGTCAGTGGACACTATTAATGAGCCCTTGGTGATTTGAAAAATAGAGTCATGCCAGAGGCATATGAGGAACTGTGCATGGACTCAGGGTTTTCTTCTTTCTCCCTACTGAATTCTGACCTTGTGTTGTGTGAAGGTGGCTCTGGCGTCTACCTCTATTAGTGGGACGAGCATGTTTGAGGGAAGCTTGTTGGACCTGTGCATGATTTTCAAGCCCCACTGAGCTATCACATTTGAGAGAGGAAACCGTCCAGCATAGTGTTCCCAAAGTGTGAGGAGCCCCGGGGCTGTGTGTGGGGTGAGTGACGACTGTGGGGATGGCGGTAAGGCACAGGAAGAGCTTCAAGGGTGACAATAAATAAAATCAAGCAAAGAGTACGCAATGTGTAAGTTTTAAACACTTGGATTCACCAAGTAGCAGAAGTGGGAGCAGACCAGGAAGAGTATCTTAAGGACCTGAGGCCAGGAACAAGCTGTGATCCCCATGGTTGAAGGGAGCAGCAGGAACAGTGCTGTGGGCAGGGCTCCAACAGCAATACCCCATGTACCATGTAAGGACCTCCACGTGGGAAGGGCCATTTCGGAGTCTTGGTTACCTGGGGATCCAAAAACATTCTCCTCTTGCTTCACAAGTGTAGAACTCATTTTGAACAAGCATCCATACAAAGTTGTGTTTTTATTATTTTATTTTATTTTTTTTGCCTCTTTGAGCCAAACTTCTGTACTTTGGAATTATTAAAATAGGGATGTCATTCTGGGATTGATCCATTCTGTAGGCAAAATGCTCATTTTTCAGGGTTTCTTTGGCCTAAAATTCTATTAAAAGCCAAGCATGAAAGATGACTTAGACAAAATTATGGCCCCCAAAGAAATTTTCTGTCTGGTGGGGCAGACAGAGACAAGTACAGGGAATAACAAGGAAAGAGGGAGAAAGATTAACTCTCGCTCAAGGGATTTGAGAATGTTGTTTTTTTATCTCCGTTTCATTTCTTCATTCTTTCCCTGCAGCTGCCTAAATGTGGATGTTCCAGAATTCTGCCTTTTCTTTCTTGTGTATTGGCTCTGGTGGAAATCCTAGCAATTCTCCTGGCTTCTCTTTTGGTCTCTGCCTTTTTTATTTTTTACTGTGGTAAATACATATAATGTGAGATCTACTGTCTTAAAAAGTATGGTTAACTGTAAGCATAGTTGTTCAGCAGATCTCTGGAACTTTTTCATCTTGTACAAATGAAACTACCCATTGAAAGGTGACTCCCTGTCTCTCCCTTTCTCCTGCCCCTGGCAACCATCATTCTACTTTCTGTTTCTAAGAGTTTGACTACTCTAGATACCTCATGGAAGTGGCATCATACACTGTTTGTCTTTTTGTGAGGACTTATTTCACTTGACATAATAGCCTCATGTTAGTGGCATCACACAGTGTTTGTCTTTTTGTGAGGACTATTTCACTTGGTGTAATATCCTCAAGGCTCAGCCATGTGTTGCGTATTGCAGAATTTTCTTCTTTGATAGACTGAATAACATTCCACTGAATGTATGTACCACATTTTGTTTGCTCATTCATTCATCGACGCATACTTAGGTTGTTTCTATATCTTGGCTGTTATGAATAATGCTGCAATGAATACGGGAGTGCAAATATCTCTTCAGGACCCCAACTTCAGTCCTTTTAGATAAATACCCAGAAGTGGGATTGCTGGGCCATGTGGTAGTTCTAGTTTTAATTTTTTGAGGGACCCGTCTACTCTTTTCTGTAATGGCTGAGCTATTTTACATCCCTACCAGCGGCGTGTAAGAGTTCTAATTCCTCCACATCCTTGCCAACATTTGTGGTTTTTTATGTTTTGGAAATTGGACATCCTCGTGAGTGTGCAGTAATATTTCATGGAAGTTTTGATTTGTGTTTCCCTGATGATTAGTGATGTTGAGTACATTTTCATATGCCTGTTGACCATTTGTATGTCTTCTTTAGAGAAATGTCTGTTTAAGTCTTTTGCCCAGCTTTTAATTGGGTTATTTGTTTTTTTGCTTTTGTGTTCTAGGGAGTCTTTGAGACTTTGACCCCAAATCTCCATGCCCTACCTAATGAACTCTACCCTCATGTCTTCTGCTACTCCTCAGCTTGATCCTTCTGTCCCAGCAAGTAAACTTCTCCCCACTGCCCTACTCCCTTGCTCAGCTCTTGCCACCCTTCTTTTGGTTTCTCAAAGATATTTAGACCCAACTCTGGCACATCTTAAAAATCCAGGTCAGGGAGGGATAGCCTGGGGAGAAACGCCAAATGTGGGTGAAGGGGTGAAAGCAAACAGAACACACTGCCACGTGTGTACCTATGCAACTGTATTGCATGCTCTGCACATGTACCCCAAAACCTAAAATGCAATAAAAAAATAAGGAAAAAAAAAAATCCAGGTCAAGTGGAGTTTTCTGTGAATTCTTCCCTGACCACCCAGCATTTGCTCTCCCTCTGCTGAGGTCTCTAGTATTTGTCTCTGTTGCTTTTGGGGCATTTGGCAGGCACTGCTGCCATGCATTGAAATGGATATTACATGTGGGTATATTTTGTATTAACTGAACTACCACCTTGTGAAGGGAAGCGATTGTGTGTCCTCCAGAGGACCTTACAGAGCCCCTTGCCATACTGTAAAGTGGCAGGAATCCTCAGAAAGGTGTGTGCGTGTGTGTTCTAGGTATAGAAGACAGACTGAACTTCAAGCCTGATGGTGCTCTGTCAACAGAAAGAGGACACGAGGGAGTAAAGTCCAAATGAACAGGCCACTGTCAATCCCAAGAGGGACAAATGGGCTGGACAGGGACAGGGAGGAAAGACAAAGGTCAGTGACCAAGACCTTTTTAGCAAGTTGGGATTGGAATAGACAAGCAGGTTTACAGGGGAAGGTCATTACTATAATCTGAGGCATGCTATACTGGATTTTGGCAGGAACGGGGTGACCAAGTGTATGCTGGGAGCCAGAGAGAAACTGAGTCCACCTCACTGTTCTGCAGGTAGTCAGAACATCTGCTGATAGCAGAGGCCAGCTGAGCTGGCAGTCTGATCTTCTCTACCCTGAACACCATGTTCCAGAGAATTCATGGCTTCCAACCCTGGTGTATGGTGCCAGCAATGCTATGTGGATGATTAGTCCACAACTAAGGTGTAGGTCACCCAGAAGCCCCCAGGACAGCTGTCAGGAGGCCAGGGCTCAGTACAAGGAGGCCACAGGGCAGACCACTGGGTTGGACATGTGATGTGGCTCTTGTGCTGACACTGGTACCCCATGCTCCTTGCCAGAGGCTGGAAGACCATTCCCTCATGGAGGTCCTTCACCTAGTGACCTTTATTGCTGTCTTCCTGGGAGTCCCCACACACCCTTACTGTAGTTGGGTTTCTGTAGCCTCCAGGACCCTGCCTCCCACTTTGAACTCCAGCATTCTGTCCTTATTATGTCATCGCCAGTTCTGGTCTTTGTGTTACTTGAGTGGGTTCTAGCCAGAGGACTAGATGTGGGTCCCCATCTTGTACCTTTGGAATGTTCCTGAGTAGGTCAAAGCCTACTCTCACAGTCTTGGGAAGCTCGGCAGCCTGGCCTTGCCTCTCTAATGGGAGGGGTAAGAAGGAGGGAGTAGGCTGTCTGAACTGCTTACTACACCTAACAGCAGTCTCTTTCTGCTCACTGACACTGAGAACAGCTCTGTCCTTTATGGCTCCTCCTTGATCCTCTCCCGCCCTCCAACTGTCATTATCCTGGGGCATTGATTTCCAAACCTGACAGGTATGGGGAATCACCAGGATGCTAGAAAAAAGAAGGTCCTATCTCTGGAGATTCTCTTCATTTAATTATGAATGGGGTCTGGGAATCTGGCATTTTTGTACAGATGTATGTGAAAAATCTGTTGGAAGGATGAATAAGAGACTTACTGAGTTGCTGAGTAAGCTTTATTTCCTTTTTTGCTTTTTGGATATGAATGGTCATACATTGTTTTTAGAAATCAGAGGAAGAATAGATGTCATTGCAAACAAAGAACACATCCTGAAATGATCTTTCAGAAACGTTACTCCTCTAATTTTGTTCCTCTTTTCTGCAGGGGGACTGGATCTCATCTTCATGCCAGGCCTTGGGTTTGACAAACATGGCAACCGACTGGGGAGGGGCAGGGGCTACTATGATGCCTACCTGAAGCGCTGTTTGCAGCATCAGGAAGTGAAGCCCTACACCCTGGCGTTGGCTTTCAAAGAACAGATTTGCCTCCAGGTCCCAGTGAATGAAAATGACATGAAGGTAGATGAAGTCCTGTATGAAGACTCCTCAGCATCTTAAATCTGGATAATTACAACCAAATGATTAGTGTTTTATATGAGAGTAAAGCAAATTATGTCTATTTTTCCCTTGTCAAAAATTAAAATTGTAATTATAAAATACCTTATATAAAACTGTCTTTAAAAACAAATAGAAGTATAAATAGTAGAATATTAATTAAAGTGAAAATCCTATGATTTTCAACTTACCTTCCTGTTGTTAATGTGACAACTAGATCTGTCTGCTTTGCAATTTAAGTTAAATATTTATGAGGAACTATGCTCCGACTGACTGCAAGAGGAAGGTAAAGTCGCTGGGAGTGGACACTGTATTTCATTATGTCCTGTCGTGACCTGGTCAGTCTCTGGCAGGCACGCGGAGACTTGGGGACTATGAATTGATTTGTTGGTGTTTGTTTGGAGACAGAATTTCCTAAGGATATCATCTGACTTCATCATGACTTCCTTTACTCACTCTTGAATCTTATGTTGGACACTTTGCAGGTTTTGGTGGTGAGTGGAGGGAAACCTTTTATAATGTAAATACTTCCACTCCACTGAGGGGTTACTATCACTGCATTTGTCAACCTCTGATGAGTTTAAGATTTCCTGTCTTATTGGTTAGAAATTATTTCTGTTTACTCATGGTTTCTGCTTTGAAAATGAAATTTGCTGTTGGTTGAAAGTTGGCAGATGGCAACACAGTTAGGGAGCAATCATTTTGTTGTGGGGAGGATTTGGTCATCCCCAGAAACCCAGGAGTCTTAATAGTCATGGCTCTCTTACACCCCATGTCCATCCTGTCACCGGGTCTTGTTGATTTTGCCTCTGAAATGCCTCTTAAATCTATATTCTCTTTTAGATTGTCCTGTCGCTCCTTTTATCCAGCCTTTTAGCGTGTCTGAACTGGACTAGGCAGGAGTGTCACACCTGCTTCCTTTGCCTTCCATCTTGCCTCTTCCAGTTTATTTCTCAAGCTGCAAACTGATCTTAGAACACGCGAATCTAATCGTGTAGCACCCCCGACTAAGATCTTTCAGTGGCTGTTCAGAGCCTCCAGAGTAACAAACAGATGGCTTCTGTTGTATACAAAGCCCCTTAAGAGAGGTCTCACCTACTTTTTCTAGCCTCTTCTCTCCCCACTCTCATATTCTCCTGTAACACGGTCTGAGCACTGCAGGCCTCTTCTGCCCTTTGCACATTGTAAGCATGCATTTCTTTCTGTCTGAAATGCTCTTTCTTCTTATATTCATCTAGAAGGCTGTTTACCCTTGAAGACTCAGCACTAGCATCACCTCGTCTGTGAAGTCCTCTGCTAGGGTGAGTGTTTTTCCCAGGCAGGGTGAGTGTTCCTTCTCTTGCCTGGATGGCCCTGGCCTTTGATCTGCTTATCATGTTGTCTTATGTATCAAATTAATTTGTTGTCATATCTGTCCCCTTCACCATACTGTGAGCTCCGAAGAAAAGAAGTGATCTTTATACTTCTTATACTTAATAGACAGCTAGACATATAGTACGTGTGTGTGATAATTTTTTTAATGAATTAATTGACTGCATTGGAAGTGTCTCATTCAAAACACTCATCCATTATTCTTTGGATAATAGCATAGATTGGATGTTTTTATGTGCAAAAGTAAAAACATTTGAAAAATATCAGTTCGGCTAAATGTGAATTTGTACAGTGAAATATGTACAATGAGAAAGGAAACCTAATTCCTAAAAGCTATGAAGTCACATTATTGTACTGGTTAAAAATAGTGTTAAGTATTGTTTTGACTATAAGGCTAAAGTGAATGTTGATGTAGCTGACATGACTGTTGGTCTGAAATGGTTGAGCAGTCAAATTCCTATAGGTCTAGAAAGTTTAGCACTGTTGAACTCAGTCTATGTTATCCTTTTATCAAACGAGAGCATTTAAAAACCACCCTACCAGCTCCTCAAGTGCAGAAAGAATGCAGAATTAACTGGCCAGAAAATGCAGGGTGCTGAGATTCGGGAAAGTCAGAGGCCACAGAGTCTTTGGCTTGAAAAGGTAAGCAATCCCTAGTGGTCAGTAATGCACAGTGACCTTTGTGCAGAGGGTATAGGAAGGGAGAAGATGCCCCTATGATGCGGGTGATGACAACATTGTAACTCTGATTAGGGCATAAACAGAGGCTGAGGACAAGGCCTTGGACTCAGGAGGAAAGCACTTCAGCACAGGCCAACATGAAGCGAGAATGATGAGCGTCTCAGACGAGGGGACAATCTGGGTAGAAAAGAAATAGCAGCTAGTTCTGTACAAAAACAATTTCAAGTATTGGGAAATTGGAAATGTATCAGGGCCTCAACATGGGTCAGTGTTTGCTGTGTGTACTATGGAACGGTGCTTAATTTAATTAGAAAGTAAACACTATAAAAGTTCTAGTCAAGAGCACTACACATTTAATCACAAAGTCTTACTGACTAGGAGAGTGGGAAATGTGTCTAGGTGTGAGTGTCTTGCTGCAGAAGCTCAGTTCCTAGTCCCAGGTTTGTTTGTTTTTTTTTCTGCAGAGATTATTGAAATTCAGTTGATCACACTGCTCTTTAATCATATGTTTACATGCTTAATTTCTTCACTATCGTACGTTCTCCTCAAAGGCAGATTCTCTGCCAAGTTCATGGTTTATTCCAGTATCTACCACAGACGCACAAAGAACCAATTTCTTGATGAAGGAATAAGCCAGTTTGAATATTGCCCTGCCAGTGCTGTGCATTTGCTTGTTTTTATGTTGGCTGCTGTTTGCTGCGAAGATTCTGTCCCCTCAGCATTGTCTTAGGCTTTGATTATTCCAGAACAAGGTTCCTGTTACTGCATTGCGTTGCGCTGGGCTGTCCATATGTGTGTGTCGTATTGTCTGTGCTGCTTTTCCTCCTTAGTGCTCTCCTTCTTTCCTTTTCTTAGTTGTCTTCTTCCCTGTTCCTGGGAGGTCATAGACCTCTTGCCCTTCAATGGTAGTTTCCAATCCTGATAAGCACCCACTCCAAATATGTTTATGTATATGCTTAAAGTAATAATATATTTTTCTGAGTAATAACATACATTATAAAATATGCACACAAGAAAGATGAGATAATGTTGAAATAGAATATATGGCATATAATTTATAATATACTTATTTATATATTTTATACATATATAATGTATACTTATTTATATATATTTATACATATATAAATATAAATATTCTATATATAAGTATTCTCTATATAAATAAAATATGATATATAATTTCTAATATACTTATACCAATGTAAATATATATAAATTTATATATAAAACATATATAATATACTTATTTATACTGTATATTTATATATAAGTTTATTTATATGTATATTTATGTATAAATTTATATATTAAATATAAATAAAAATAAATTTATATTATATATAAATGTATATATAAATATACCTACAATATAAAATAAATTTATATTAAATATAAATATATAAATTTCTATATAAACATACATGTATAAATAAGTATACATTTACATATGTATAAATATATGTATGTATTTTATACATATATAAATAAGTATAAATATTCATTTTTAGAAAGAGCAATATGATTACCAGAGCAGCATGAGATAATGTTGAAGTAGAATATATTACATAATTTATAATATACTTTTTAGATAGATGAATATTTTTGACATTTACTATTTTTGAAAATCTTGTTTTAACACATTTTGAATGATTCAGAATTCTGGTTCTAATTTCAGTTTGTTTCAGTATTTGGTTTTAAGGGCTATTAGAGCTGAAAAAGATACCTTCTGGAGAAGCAGATTCAGATGGAAGGAAAACTATACTTAATAAAATTTTCAGTCCTGTTTACCAATTTTGCAAAGATAAATTTTTAATTTAAACCCAGCTGGTAAATACCCATTTTCCTGATGTGAATGTGTCATTTTTGCATGTTAACCAGAGGTGCTGCACATTTTACTTTATCAAGTAGGGGCAGGAGTTTGAGGTTGCAGTGAGCTCTGATTGCAGCACTGATCTCCAGCCTGGGTGACAGAGCGAGACCCCGTCTCTACCAACAACAGCACATAAAAAACAAATAGGTTCAAAGCTTACTGAAATTCTTTCAGCTTTTAAATCTAGTTGGGAAAATTCTGCTTACAAGCGTTTTGGTTGTATAGATGTGAAAGTGTAGGTGTCACACTATTAATAGTTTTTGGCAACGTAGTCATATAATGATGAAAATATTTCCAAATAACCATTTTTATATGCACGCGCCATACAAGTCTCTGAAAGTAGTTCCTCTCTGTCTCAGTGATGAAATATAACTTTCACTATGAAAATTCAAATGAGATGTATTTATTTCTTTGGAGTTTACCAGCAGCCATTTACAACTCAGAAAGGTCAGAAAATTCGGAATACTTGCCCTTTGTGCAAAATATACACGTAAAACTCATCTTTAAGTTTACAGCTCTTTTTTATTTATTTATTTTTAGGCAAGAGTCTTGCTGTGTCACCCAGGCTGGAGAGCAATGGTGCAATCTCGGCATACTGCAACCTCTGCCTCTCGGGTTCAAGCAATTCTCCTGCCTCAGCCTCCCAAGTAGCTAGGACTACAGGCCCCCGCCACCATGCCTGGTTAATTTTTGTACTTTTAGTAAAGACGTGTTTCACTGTGTTGGCCAGGCTGGTCTTGAACTCCTGACCTTGTGATCTGCCTGCCTCAGCCTTCCAAAGTGCTGGAATTATAGGCATGAGCTACCACACCTGGCCAGTTTATAGCTCTTTTAAAAGTATTTTACCTTGAGATGATCAGAGAAATTTAAGTGAATCGAAGTACTGTTCATAGGTACTTCCTATTGCATCCCAAAGAGTTATAAATATTCTACTATAAAGGTCTTAATTTTATAAAATTTGTATCAGTGATACCCCTAGGACACGGGATATTTTGCCTGTAAATTATTTAGTAATGCTATTGCTGAATTCTGAATGTGGAATCCACCATCATTTATATATATATATATATACACACACACACACAGCGTCTCTGTCTGTCACCCAGGCTGGAGTGCAGTGGTGCCATCTTGACTCCCTGCAGCCCTGCCTCCTGGGTTCAAGCGGTTCTCCTGCCTCAGCCACCTGAGTAGCTGGGATTACAGGA